AGAAAACAATAAATCACTTACCTTTTAATCTACTGCTGCTCTGCTATAAATCAATTTCTTGTATTAACACACGTTATACATTCGAATTTATATTTTTATTTCACACTGTTTCAAATTTTATTTTAAAACTTTCCCGCATGAAACGTCGATTTGACGCACTGAATTTGGAATACCAATTTTTTCGTAACTAAATTATTTGTGCATTATCTACGATTTCGAAGTTCAAATTGAACCCACTTTTTATGGTTGAAAACCGTACTAAATGATGAACACTTTTTGCAAGAATGCAAAACCATTATCTATAGAAGCTTTTGTAGTAAACCCCAGACCGATTGCGAACAAAAACAAACACACGAATAACTAGCACTCATTTGCCGGAAAACGACCGAGAAAAGATGGAGCTTTTGCTCTCTTTAACAGGGACACGGAAACGTTGTTGTTGCAAAGGCAAGCATTTTTTTCTTATTAGAAAGCTTTTTGTAGCCAACGGCTCATAGATCGAAATAAGCAAACAAAAAGATGCATACACACACGAGCAAACATTTTTAATTTTTTTTAAATGAATACTGCAGAATATTTTTATATCACTAAATGAACGGATTTTGCCATTTTTTTGTTGTATTCAACTTTTTCAATTATTACAAAAACATTTTCTTATTATTTCCAATTTATTAATAATTTCGCAACCGATCACTACCACGGACGTCTATACTTGATGAACGCGGCAAAAGAACTAAATGAGGGGACAGTTCTAAATATCTTTCTTACAGGTATGATGGTTATATGAGAGCTGACTTAACGAATGAAGTTTAAAGTTTAAATTTCATTCGTTAAGTCAGCTCTTTAAAAAAAGAGATTGTATTTTTTTCCTTTGATTTTTAAGAGTGTATAAAGAAAATGGCGACTGATCGAAACAACAATTGAAACGGAAGGAATGTGAACATGTTGCAGTTTCTTAACCTTACGAGTGGACAGTTCTCGCGCTCACTTTTACTGGAATGGGGAATATGAGGGGTGACTTAACGAAAGTATGTTAAAATGAAGATATTGCATTCGTCTCCTCTGATTTTTAAGAGAGAGAGAGTACTGAAAATGGACATTTTCTCTTGAAGTAGTTATGAGAGAAAAGGGAGAAATGGGAACATGCCATAGACAAATGAAGGAATAGACACCAAAATGCTCTCACCAGCGCTCTCTCAAATTGAGTTAGCTAACAGGTATTTTCCTTTTTAAATCGAATTTATAAACTTTTTAAGGAGGAAGACACTATATATAGTTAGATTTTTACAAAATCTATAACATATGATAAAAATTTTACATAAAATATTGATAATTTTGCTACAAATTGGCTTTGAGTTTTTTGGCTTGAGTCACTTCACTAGCACTTTCCTGAGTACTTTGGTGTCTATACATTCGTTTGTCTATGACTCAATCTTACAGGTATGGGGAATATAAAGTTTAAATGAATATATTCCAATGATATCCTTTCATGTTTAAGAGAGTGTACTGAAAATGTACATTTTCTCTGGGAGTAGCTATTGGGGAATTGGAAGAAATGGGACGATGTCGCAGTTTTTAATCCTTAAGAGTGGGAAGTTCTAGAACACTAATGCACAAAATAGTACGATAGCGGTGATGGCTAAACACGTATTTTCTTTTTTTCTCTCTTCGCAAGTCATTTTTGAATGGGATCTCTCACTTACGCTCTCACACACTTACTCTCACTTTAATTCTGTTCAACTCTGTTCTAGAACTATCTCTCTCTTACGGATAAAAATGGGAAATATGAGGGCTTAACTTAACGAAGGAAGTTTAAATGAAGAGTTTGATTCCTTTGATATTTAAGAGAGTCTACCTAAAATGGGAAATTTCTCTGAGAGTATTTCCAATGGAAATGGAAGGAATGGGAAGATGCTGCAGTTTACTTACGCCAATACATACACAATATTGAAGGAAATGCGAGGGACGCATACACACCTTGCTTAACAACTCCGATTTCATATGGGCTAAAAACAAAAGATTCAAAAGTAAACTATTATTTTGTTTTTTTTTTATAAACCGGGAAATTGTTGAAAATAAATAATTAATAATTTTATAGGGAACTCAAGTTGGATTCGATTTTTAAAATAATTTTTTCGGAAGTCGTGGATAATTTAAATATTTTTTTAGGGAACTCAAATAGACATGGATACTTAAAATATTTTTTTTTTTTTTGCCAAGTTTTCAGGGAACTCCAATACGTGAATTTTCCAGTAGGAATTATTTAAATAATTCTTTTGGAACTTTTAAAAGTGTGGATTTTTCCTATAGGCATGGATTTTTTTAATAATTTTTTTTTTCAATACCTCCTATAGGCTTGGATTTTTTAATAATTTTTTTTTCAATACCTCCTATAGGCGTGGATTTTTTAATATTTTTTTCAATACTTCCTATAGGCGTGGATTTTTTAATATTTTTTTTCAATACCTCCTATAGGCGTTGATTTTTTAATAACTTTTTTCAATACCTCTTATAGGCGTGGGTTTTTTAATAATTTTGTTTTCAATACCTCCTATAGGCGTGGATTTTTTAATAATAGACATGGATACTTAAAATATTTTTTATGGCCAAGTTTTCAGGGAACTCCAATACGTAAATTTTTCCAATAGGAATTATTTAAATAATTCTTTCTGGAACTTCTAAATGTGTAGATTTTTCCTATAGGCATGGATCTGTTTAAAAATTTTTTTCAATACCTCCTATAGGCTTGGATTTTTTTAATCATTTTTTTCAATACCTCCTACAGGCGTGGATTTTTTAATACCTCCTATAGGCGTGGATTTTTTAATAATTTTTTCAATACCTCCTATAGGCGTGGATTTTTTAATAATTTTTTCAATACCTCCTATTGGCGTGGATTTTTTAATAATTTTTTCAATACCTCCTATTGGCGTGGATTTTTTAATAATTTTTTCAATACCTCCTATTGGCGTGGATTTTTCAATAATTTTTTCAATACTTCCTATTGGCGTGGATTTTTTAATAATTTTTTCAATACCGCGTGGATTTTCTTTTACTTTATTACTTTTTTCAACGAAATACACTCTAAAATTTAAATAAACATGGCCGAAGTTATGGGCTAATCGTCACTATGTCGGTTCGATTCTGGCCAAAGACGAAACCTATAATTTTTGGAAATCATAAGTCAACATTTGGAAATCAAATTGTCAAAAAATTACTCGAATATCGCAAAATTGTACACGGAGACGGCCAATTATGTATTACTATTTTGATGAAGATCGTTCAATATTTAGCGGGTCAAAAACATATATTTCTTTAGGAAAGGTTATGACCGGAGAAGTTGACAGTATATCCAAGTGGAGTGATGTACTAGGATGTGGAAGTTACACCTACATATTCTTATATTAATATTATCGCACTTTCAAAGCAGGGTCCTATATATTTATGTCAGCCTTCTAGAACCATTTTTATAAAACTACAGCTGCATTGGTGGGAAATTGTCTTCAAATAAAATTTACCAAAATCCTCAAAAAATCTCGAAACATTGGCCATATTAATATTTTTCTACCTATTGAAGACCAAAATTATAAATTTACAGCCAATTTAGTTATAATGCCCAAATTTCAATAAAATAACCAACGAAAGTGGAGCAAAACGTAGTGGGAAAATGAGACAACCAAGAAGGACCTAAAACACCAAACCTTCTCAATTCCATAATATCGAGTAATAGTGGTCAATGTGTCATTTTTTTGCAGATATAATTATGGGATTCAAAAAAAGATTATATCTGTCTGTGGTAAACATATCTGAATGTTATCGGACGCATACAAATGTTGTGTATAGTGCGAAGCCCAGCAGTTATATCGAATCAGAATCATTTTAAAGAATAAAACAATAATGTTTTTTTTACAATATTTTAAACACTTTCCAGTGAATTTATTTATTCAATTATTAATGTAATAATAAAAAAGATTTTTCCTTATGCATTAAGAAACATAAAATCGACTAAAAACTAAAAAAGAAAGAAATATGGGTGTCATCTTATTAGAGTTTCTGTGGATGTGTGAATAGATTGATTTTCGGTGGTAGAAAAATAATCACACAGCATCATTAATAATTATTGCATATTTTCTACTGGTTGAACTGAACAACCCATAATGACAACATAGGGGGCAGGTATGGATGATGACAAATAAAAATAATATAAAATTAAAAAAAATCTAAACTAAAAATAATAACAGCGGTAAATTAGGAGATTAGACTCAATCTTGAGATAGATTGTATTATATATAGAATGCTAAAGATATATATCTTAAAGATAACCTAAGGTTAGGGATGAAATGAGTTATTGGAAATAAATACACTACATAATAATTTGGGGGGAAACCACTTGGGAAGATTGGGGTGTGGGAATTAAATTAAAAACAAATTGCGATATAACAAAAATATCATCGATTGAATATTATGATATACTTCAAAAGAAAGTACAATATATCAAAATCCAAATAAAAAATTAAAATTGGTGACAGGGAAGATGCGATGATTTTTTCACAGAATTAAAAATTGTTTAAAACTAAATTTTTTTCTTTACATAATTACGATTAGTTTTTAAATTTAAGTTTTTGTTTATGTTTTAAAAAGGAAATTAATTATTCAAATAGTTGTTGTTATTGTTATCAATAATTATAAATATGTACAGAGAGCTTAAATAGTAAAGACGACATTGTCTGTGTGTGTTTTACGAATAATTTGTTCAATACACCGCGTGACGACGTTGGGCTAAAAGTGTGACTTGCAAATTCCTTTCTTTTGCGAACGAACTCTCTCCATTCGATCTTACAAGGTTGTGAGCAGCAAGTCCATTTTATAAATATACAGTCATTTAAAATATATTTGTATATATATATTTTTTCGACTTGGGAAGCTTCAATAGCTGGCAGCCATTTTGGATATTTCTTCCATTCAATATTTACACCAAATTATGAATACATTCTAATTTCCTACTGCATATCCATGTTGTTAGCAGCAGCAGCTGCCGCCGCCGCAGCATTGTTTGCTGCATTCATGGCCGCAGCCGATACCTCCTTCATGGATTCCACTTTAGCCACAATCTTGAGAGCCGGTCCCAATTTCATACCCATAGCATTGACCAAATGATTTTCTTTGAGCAACAACAAAGCCTGGCCATCAATCTCCTGTTGTTCGAAATCATCCACATAATCCGTACAGCCGGGAAGATTTTTAATAAATTCACAGACATCGGCCACTGTCCAATTGGCCATTTGTGGCTGTTGATCAATTGTGGGCGGGACTGCAGCAGCTGCAGCCGCCGCCACTGATGGCATGGCATTCATTGTGGCAGCAGCAGCAGTGGGTATGGCGGCGGCAATTTGGGCTGCCGAGGAAACTGACCCCGCCACATCATTCATCAGTGGTGCAGGCATAGGCATTTGAATTGGTGCCGGAGCAAGAGTAGGAGCTGGTACCATAGGCATTGCCGCCACCAGCGGCGTATCAACCATACCAACATTAACAGGGATCATAGATGTTGCCAATGCATGGCCACCACCAATATCCATGGGTATGCCATTGTTATTGGTAACAACGGATGATGTATCATTGACATTATTGAGAGCCATTCCGCCAGCTCCGGGCATTCCTGCTCCCACCAGGCCATTAGTTGTGTTATTATCGTTTTGCTGTTGCAGATTTTGATTGTGTTGCTCCTGACCAATCGAAGCTTTCGCCTGTCGGGCGCATGTCGGTGAACAGTATCGCTTCTTTTTCAGTTTAGTTTTATGCTCAGGTTTACCGCATTGTTCGCAAGCCACCATATCCGGTGGCAGTGGACTCGTTGAGTTAAGGGAGTTGTTGTTTGTATTACCAGTATTTGTCGAATCATCGAGGGCTTGTTTTTTCTCTGTAAAAGATAAAAAAGCAACAATAAATATTTAGTTATTCCATATTAAAAAATGATAAAGGTTTAATTTAAAAGGATATATTCCGAAAATCATTTATGCAAGATTTTTGAATATCGATTTGTGTTCGGTATCCTAAAAATGTAGGTATTTTAAAATTAAACAAGAAAAACTTCGTTATTTTCAGCCGGGTAGACTTTTTATACCCTCCACCATGAGGGAGATGGACATTGAAATACCTATAATAGTTCGGAACATTTATATATGACATGGAGAATTTCTGCCTGAAAACCAAGTCGGAAATGCTTAAAATGCCGAACATTTTGGGTACCGTTGAAGGGCGGCTATGTCAAACGTGAACCGATATTAATAATTTTTTGTAGGACGATTTTATACGCACTGAGAACAAAAATAAAAATGAAGTAAAAGTCCGATTTTTCACGCGAAAAAAATATCGAAATTTAGGGGTAGGGTTATTCGGGGGCTACACTAAAACGGGGATCAATATTGATAATTTTTGGTAGGAAGATTTGCTACCCAAAGGGAAGTCAAAATATCAAATTACAACCATTTCGGTTCAAAAACGTGCCCAAGAATCCTAAAATATCAAATTTATTATGGAACCGTTACATGGAAACAGCTCTAAAACGTGGGTCTATATTGAATTTTTTTGGTAGAAAGATTATCAAAATATCTAATTAGAGCCAAAATCGGTTGTAAAACATGTCCAAGACCCCCAAAATACCGAACATTTTGAGGTGCCATTATAGGCAGCTACCTTAAAAAGTGGACCGATATAGATAATTGTTGGTAGGAAGATTTAACACCCCATGAGAACCCAAAATATCGAATTAGAGCCAAATGGGTTGAAAAACATGCCCAAGACCCCCAAAATAACGAACATTTTGAGGTGCTACCTAAAAAAGAGGAACGATATTGATAATTGTTGAACCAAAAATATAATTGCGAACATTTTGAGTTACGATTCTATGGAAGCTACCTTAAAAATTGGACCGATATTGATAATTGTTGGTAGGAAGATTTGACACCCCCATGAGAAACCAAACTATGAAATTAGAGCCAAATCGGTTGAAACCCTTTCAATAAATACCAAAAAGAAAAAGGTACCGTTATATGGGGCCTATACTAAAGAGTGGACCTGTATCGATAATTTTTGGTAGGATGATTTGCAACTTAATGACAAACTATAATACGAAATAACAGTCAATTCTACTCCGAAAATTAGACCAATATTGATAATTTTTTATATGGAGATTTTCTACCTCTATGAGAAATATTAAATTACAGCTGTGTCGGTTGAACTCCCCAGAGCACAGACATTTGTGAGGAGCCGTTATATGGGGATCAACATAAATATTTACTGGTAGAAAGATTATCTACCCAATAGTAATTCAAAATACGAATATACAGCCAAACATGAATTTTCAAAATTTCTCTCCCTTAAATATTGCACTATCGTTATTTCATAAACTCTATAAGCGTCTCCCGTGAAAATTTTAAGGTGTTACAAACGGAATGACATCTTTAATGTATTCTCCCTCCACCCTAATATTTAAAATAAATTAATAATACAGAAACTTACGTGGCAATTCATCACTATCATCTTTATCGGTATAACGTTTACGTGACACCGGGAATGGTTCATTGGCTTCCTGAATGATAAAGCCATCGATGACATGAGTCAAAACGTTAGGTTTAATCATTGCCTTGGGTAAATCTTTTTCAACTTTAGCCGTTGTGGCACCCGGTGTGGTTTTGGGTGGTGACACACCTGAAGATTTTGTGGTGGGTGTGGTGGCAGTGACAGAAGCTGTGGCAGCAGCAGTGGTGGTTGTAAATGTTGTTGATGTTGTGGTTGAACTACTATTGGACGACGATGTTGTTGTTATGGACGTACTAGAAGAACTACATGTACTTGTTGTTGTTGGTGCAACAGCTGATGTATTCGAATTTGTGTTATCTTCCGGTGATGTAGAAACAACATTGGTTTTATCACCAGCCACGGAGTTGTTTTCCGTAGAGCTGGGAGTTTGATTGTTCGACGATCTTGAAGTTTTTGTGGGTGAAGACAGATTGTTGCTATCAGTTGTTGTTTGGGTTGTGGATTGTACATCGTTGGACTGCTGTTGTTTGTTTTCGGCATTATCTTCCTGTTGAGGCAGCTGAGGTGTTTGCTGATTGTTTGCATTTTCCGAGGTATCCATTGGCTGTGGCATGGAAGAAGAATTTTCCTGGCTACCACTATTATTGGAAGCTGTTATGGCGGCTGGAGATGATGTTGTTGTGGTTTGTCCCATATTATTTGTGTTACTATCCGTTTGATTAAGTACCCCGGTGGGTGTGGCATTATCAGCCATACGATTTAATTCGTTTGTTTTGTTGGATGGGGTATCTTTGCCACCACTAGTATCCGAACTAACAACGACTGGTGTCGAAGGTGCTGAAAGCATTTGTTGACCGTTCGCATTTTGCGAATTACCCGCCGTCACAGTGGTACTTGGAGTACTGGGTGCACTGGACACGGTTTTCAATTGATCCAAAGCACTTTTGGATGGTGTTGTGGGCAGGGAAGATACACTGGTGACATTGTTGGTGAGAGGCGATGTCATGGGAACGGTGGTGGCATTGGTGACATTATTCAATGTGGTAGAGCTGGTGTTTAGAGTGCCACCAGCAGCAGCATTCATCATGGAGGCCATAGCCAAAATTGGATTTTGAGCAGGAGAAGAGGGTGGTGGCATAACGGTAGTATGCTGTTGCTGGGAAGCAGCATGTTGTTGCTGCTGCTGTTGTTGTTGTTGGGCGACTGCAACCATTTGTTGCTGAGCTTGCTGCTGCAATTGGGCCTGTTGTTGCTGCTGCTGATGTTGTTGCTGTGACGCAGCAATGGTGGCGGCAATCAATTGTTGCTGTTGTTGCAATTGGGATTGATTCAAACCCACAGTACTTGTCACCAAGGGACCGGTTTGATTCGATATTGTCACCACAGATGTGGTGGGCAGTGAATTAGATGTCTTGGTGTGATAGGTCACCTGCTGTAGGGCACTTGCCGAGCTAGCAATGGAGGCCGGTGTCGATGAGGACACTGAAAATGGTACTGTGATTTGTTGTTGCAATTGCTGTTGTTGTTGCTGCTGCTGTTGGGCTGCTTGTTGTTGATGTTGTGGTGACTGGGCCACCACGATTTGATGAATGATATTTTGTCCCTGTTGGGCCTGCTGCTGCTGACCATCACGTTGTTGCTGCTGCTGCAACTGTTGTTGTTGTTGCAAAATTTGATTTTGCAATTGTTGTTGTTGCTGAGTGGTTATGAATGTTTGTCCACCCACAGTTTGCAGTTGGATTTGCGGTTGTTGTTGCTGCTGTTGTTGTTGAGCTTGACCTACTTGCTGTTGTTGCTGCTGTTGAGCCGCCTGTACGGCTTGTTGTTGCAATTGCTGATGTTGCTGCTGTTGTTGTACGGCTGCTGCGGCCTGTTGCTGTTGTTGTTGCAATTGTATTTGAGCAATTTGTTGTTGTATCAATTGTTGTTGCAACAGGACTTGTTGTTGCTGCTGTTGTTGTTTTTGAATTTGCTGTAATTGCAATTGTTGCTGCTGCTGTTGTTGTTGCTGTTGCTTATCCACTGCCTGCTGTAGAGTTTGGCCATTTTGTATGGTGATTGGTGTACCAGCACTCATAACCACCATTCTGGGAGGAAGGGGAGGGGGAGAAAATATTAATAATGAAATCTGAAATACTGTGGAAATTAATTCTACTTACTGTTTTCCACCCGATGTCACCACTTGATGCATTGTGGGCTGACCTTGCTGCTGCCCTGCCACGGCAGCCGTCATCTGTTGCTGTAAACCAGCCACTGTGGCTGCCTGGGCTTTAACCACCTGCTGCTGTTGCACTTGCTGCACGGTATTGGGTTCTTGCTTCAGTTGCGGCAATGCTGGCCTTACCGCCTGCTGTTTGGTGCGCATCTTCTGTTTGAGCAAACTTTGATTTTGAGCCGTCTGTGTGGAAACGGAGGAGGCTGGTCGTATTTGTGCACCGGCAGCCTGGGGCATAATTTGTGCCGCACCACGTTGATTGGCTGCAGCGACCACAGCGGCAGCAGCTTGTTGTTGAAGGTGGGCAGCCACCACAGCCTGCTGTTGCTGTTGTTGTTGCACCGCGGCATTGGCAACCTGTTGTTGCTGCTGCTGTTGCTGATTGACTTGTAGCTGGGCAGCAGCAGCGGCTGTAGCCTGACCGGCAGCAACCTGTTGTTGTTTAACTGCCGCCGCCTGTAATTGATCCAATTGGGTACGTTGCTTTGTGGGCGTCTGGGTACATTGTAGGGTTATCTCTGAAATAAAAGAAACATTTAATCTTGAGGCATTCGATTTTAGATTTCCATGGCTACTTACGATTTTGTTGTTGAGCCTGCAGCGTTGGACCCGTCGGCTGTTGTATGAACACACCCTGTGTCCCATCCGGTTGTGTGCCACGTATAATTATTTGATTTTGAGCCAATTGTTGGAGACCATTCGGCCAGAAGGGAACCCATTGCGGATTTATTTGCAGAGATTGTGGTGCCCCCGTGGCTTGCTGAAGCGGACTTATGATTTGTGTTGCCCCGCCTGCCATACCGGCTGCCGTTTGAGCATTCACTTGGACACATTGCTGTTGGGCCTGTTGTTGCTGCTGTTGTTGTTGTGCCACACTGGCGGTGGCCGATTGAACGGTATTTGTGGTCGTGGTGACTTTTTGTACCACCTTCTGTTGTAGGCCCTTTTGACCATCTACTGTGGCTTTTTGTTGCTGAGCCTGCTGTTGGGCCTGTTGCTGTTGTTGTTGAGCCTGCTGTTGTTGTTGCTGGGCCTGTTGGGCATTTGCTGCAGCCTGGGTCATAGCTTGCAGAATATTTTGCTGCTGCGGAGACTGGGAGATGACATTAACGGGAGAAAACAACAACGTCTGCTGTGATTGACTGGATGGAATGGCATAGGTGGTGCCACTGGGAAACCCAGCATTGCCCCCAATAGACATTTGCTTGGCATTTTGTGTGGTGGCAATCATTTGTGTGGGTCCACCTTGGAAGGGCTTGCCGGCTGTAATGACTTGTATTGGCTGTTGGCCCAAACCTGATTGTATCAGATTACCCGGCAACACCATGTGGGGATAAATAAATCCGGTGGATGGTTGCATAAATTGTACCGTCCGTCCCTGGGTCCAATCACTCGCTGTGGCCACTTGACCTGTTGTTGTGGCCAATTGCATGGGTGACATGGTGCTTATGGTGGTCGAATGCTGTGGCTGTAAACCATTGTTAACACCCTGCTGGTTGGCCGGACTGTTGGGTCCAGCTCCGCCATTGGCATCAGCGGCCGCTGCTGCAGCTAATTGCATTTGCATCTGTTGTAATTGACCCTGTGTGGCCGCATCCAACATACCGGTGTGTTTAAGTTCCGTTGTAGTTCCACCGGCCGTGGACAGAGTATGCTGCTGTGTGGGGAATTCCTGTTTGACTTGGATGGCTGCAAAGGGTGAACCATGTTGCAGTTGATGTAGCTGTTGTAGGTGTTGCAATTGTTCGGGTGAGATTTGTAGTGGCACCGTATTGGGTGCCACTTGTTGGGCTGGACTCTGTGATTTCTCCAGTTTGAAGCTTTTGTTATTGGCAGTACCGCCGCCGCCGCTGCCAACAATTGAAATGGAGGTATAGGTGTGGGTGTTTGTGGCTGAAGTGCAGGCAGCAGAGGATGCCCGTAAATTGGCCAAGTGTATTTGTTGTTGTTGGTGCTGCTGCAGCTGCTGCTGTTGTTGTTTTAAATTATTTTGTAGTTGTAAATATTGGTGTTGTTGGGATTGCAGTTGGTGTTGTTGCTGCTGTTGTGGTGGTGGTGGGGGCGTGGTATTTGTTGTTGGCGTGGCAAAATCGTATTTTTCGTCAAATGTTATGCCGGCCTTTTGTGCCAAAGTCTCTAAACACTTGAGAGGGCGTTCGCCGTTATTGTTATTCGCCTTGGGGGTATTTGGGGTTGACGATGAAGAGGTCGATGACGCTGCTGTATTCCCAACGACTTTTGTGTTTGTCAAGTGGTTTGTGGTAGAACCGTTGTGGTTGTTTGTAGTGTTACTACTAGGGGATGATATGGATGATGCTGAGTGTTGTTGTTGTTGCTGCTGCTGTTGAAGTTGATGCTGCAATTGTTGTTGTTGCTGTTGTTTTGTTTGTTCCACTAAGTGTGCTTGCTCGGCATTGACTTTAATTATTCTGATATTGGAATTATCCTTAAGGGGTTGTGTTGGCAAATATGTGGTATTTGATGTCGCGATTGAATTTTCACTTTCTCTTGTTGCCGTAGTTCTGTGGGTGGAAGGAAGGGAAAAAAGAATTGGTTAATAAATGATAAAACATAAGAGGAGTTTTTGTATGTAATATTACTGGGAAGGAAATAGCTATGTTCTAATTAGGATAGGCTGGGATAAATCTAATAAATATCTAAGATAAATTGCAAATGGAAAAGGAAATTGATATCAATATAGTTATTTTTAGTGAATAGATAGAAGCTAATAGAGTTTTGAAATAAATTTTAAATTCAAATCTAAAGAAAGCATAAAATATGTAATATATTTTTATATGTAGTAATATGATAGGGCTCAAAACTTGAAAAAATTTCCCAGTCCTATTACTATGAGAAAAAAGATTTCTACAAGCATCGGGTTTATAAGAAAACGGAAGCTATAATCGGAGATGTGGTGCGAGAACGGTAATTATATTCAATTTATTACCCTCTGCCAAATTTCGTGTAAATCGAAAAAACATAGGCCCTTTGGTGCACCATTTACATAAAATCAAACGAAAATATATATAAGACATATATCAAAATCTTAACCGATATCAAAAAACCTTATCACACATCATTTTATCCTCAATAGCATTCGCAATGCAAAATTTTGTTCAATCGGACAAAAATTGGGAGTTTGGTGTATCATTCACACAAAAATCGGACGAAACTATATATAGGAGCTATATCTAAATCTGAACCGACTTTAACAAAACTTTGCAGATATCAATCTGGACCTAATTCAGTACTCTGTGCAAAATTTTGCCCCGATGGATGTTTGGTGCATCATTCACATAAAATCGGATGAAACTATATATGGGTGCTATATCTAAATCTGAACCAGCACTCTGTGCAAAATTTTGTCCCAATCGGATAAATATTGGGTGTTTGCTGCATCATTCACATAAAATCGGATAAAACTATATATGGGAGCTACATCTAAATCTGAACCGATTCCAACAAAACTTCGCATACATATGTATGGACCTGATTCAGTGCGCTGTGCAATATTATGTCCCAATTGGACAAATATTGGGAGTTTTGTGTATCATTCACATAAAATCGGACGAAACTATATATGGAAGCTATATATAAATCTGAACCGATTTTCTCCAATTTCAGTAGGGTTCGTCCTTGGGCCAAATAAGTGAACTGTGCCAAAATTTCATTCCAATCGGATCATAAATGGACGGGCCGACAGACATGCGTAAATAGGCTCAGAAAGTGATTCTATGCATATTCTCAAAAGGAACCATGTGTCTATCTCGTTTCCTTTTGCCTGTTACAAACATATGTACAAAGACAATAAGACATAATAACTTGTCCTTTAGCCACCAAGACAACTGTATACAAAATTAAAACCGGAAAATAAGATTAGGAGCGTGAAAAAAGCCTAAAATAAAGTGGAAACAAAAAAAAAACTAAAAACTTAGTGGGACCTTTTTGTGGGAGCTAAGTCAAAACATGAACCTAGAAAAATTACCCTATGACCACGAAAATGAAACAATAATGAGCTGAACTAAAACCTTCAAAGAACCGAACATGGGATTTTACTGTTATATGGCGCTATACCAAAATATCGACCGATATTGAACATTTTTTGGAGTATGATTTTTAATATCAATATTGAGCGTGGAACTATAATACTCTGAACTTTATCATCCAAAATTCAGATTCCCAAAGGGAATTCAGAATATAACATTACAGCCAATATTGTTGAAATGTTGGACCAAGGTACCCAGAACACTGCAATTCGGAAGTTTGCTAAAAAGTTCACCAATATTGATTTTAAGTAGGAAGACCTGCTACATGATTTTATTGCCTGAGTAATCGATTTAAAATTTAGAAAATTTTAAATCGATTACTTTTTTATTTTAAGCCCACACTGTGCCATAAATTTCAATATTGTCCCAATTAAAAGTTAATAAAACGTGTTTCTCCGCCATTAAAAGGGAAAATATTCTAAAAACATGCAAAAAGGACGAACAGAACACACACGTTTTTTCTTTTCAATTTTCCATACCGAAAAATCCCAGTTTGAAAGTACAGTGCGGCGCAGTGCAGTACGGGAACCACTAAATTTTTGGCATACATTACAATGCTTGTCATATATACTTCGTCCCGCAGATGATGATAATGATGATATAGTGATATTTCAACCCTTTTTACCCCTTTACAATCCTTCTACAGGACAACAATTATTTCGGCGGTGTAAAAAATTGGAGAAAAGAATATCCCACTTTTTTTTATTCGCACAACGGACGACAATATATTCAACCCCTAATGGCTGGAGTTGCATGTGGCGATTTTTATATTCGCAAAAAATAAAAAGCAAAAAACTTGTAATAATGGATAGCACTCGTCAGGTAGGCAGGCAGGCTGTAGCCAAGGGAAGAAGAGAGACAAAGTCCTGACTCTGTTAAGTAAACATTAATGTTTTTACATCTGTGTCATAATTCTTAATTTCATTCATTATGCCATGTAACTACCCCTCGGTCCATAGAAAAAATAACATGTCGTCCTTGTACACAAAAACTGCAATTCCACCCTTCCAATTTTGTGTGTGTTTGAGTGTGTGTATTTTGCAATTAGTCCAAGGTAGTACAAAGTTAAAAACTCTAAATATGGTAATTTACGTAAATTCCATACCAAAAAGGGGGCAATAACAATTTTTTGTCTATGGGACCTTAAAACGCCTTGACTGAATTTCCCTTGAATGAGGGGGTGGTAGGTATTGTTGTTCTTGAGGGTTTAAAATTTATCACAGTGTCAGTGTATTGGCAAAAACTTTTTGGGTTTGGAAAGTTCAGTTTTTTGTTGGTGTTGTGGTTTTTTAGGGTGTTGGTAACACTGTGCAGCACAGTAGAGAAGTTAGAGCTTAGTATGAGATTACATTTCCTGCTGTTGAAAAGTTTTCAACAGCAACACCCTGCATCTCTCCAACACAGGCTCGACACTCGTTTGATAATATGAAACTTCTGTTTTTGTTGTCTTCCCTCACACGCTATCTTGGTTTCTTTGGTATTGGGTTTCATTGCGAGTTACTCCCCCAACCATCAACAGCAGCACCATCCTTATCATGGGTTTCCAAAAAAGAAGAAGAAAACCATCATGCATGGTTATTTTGGCATGCGTTATTTGTTTTTGAGGACAAAAAGGGGGTTCCTTTAGAAGGGAAAGAGAAAGGGTAAGGGAAAAGAAGTTGTTTTGTAGTACTGCAATTGATAAAAAGTGAAATGTAACAAAATGGGTTATTCAGGAATCTTTCAAACCCATATGTTTCAGGCTCATTGTAAGAAAATGTATATCCCCCGTTGTCCTAAATTATATACTTTTTAAAAGGATAGCAGTTGGTTTTATGTACATTGTAATAACGACGAAGTTCGTCCAGGACTTCAACATATCGAACGTTTTTTTTTCTTTATATGTGGACTATGTCAAAACATGGTTCTATTTTGAAAAATATTCTTTTTATTCTCAGAAAATCTAATATGCCAGTTTTTTATAGCTCTATCTTAAATATTGTGATCTCTATCATAATTTCAACATGGAAGACGGGCGAGAACTCTCTGATCAAGAATGTACATAATTTATATAGTGCTGCAACGGAAATCACAAATTTGATATACGATCCCTAAATTGTATAATTATCGGAAACTTCCAAACATATTTACAGCAGTTTCCAAAGGAGTTGTGTAAAATTTAATGGTATGCTAATTTTATACATATTTAAAAATAATATTTCTTGACTACCAAATATTGGTTCGACCAAAAAGGTATTATTTCAATTTACCGTCGGCCACTTAAGGGTTTTTCAGTGATATCCTAGATGTGTGACATGGGATTTTGTGTTGTGCACACCTCAAAACAAATACAGAGGATCTTTATGGTTTTATCGTATATAAAATTGAAAGTATTCGATAACCCACTGTCAAAGAGAATCCTAGTAAATACACATTTCAGCATATTTATACTCTACTTAACTATGTTGTAAGAATATTATAGCTTTGTGTGGCCCCAAGAATTTGTAACGCCGCGAAATAATGGTCCTAGACCCACGATCATCATATCTCGACTAGCATTTTCGATCTAGACTTGAGGTACGCATGTCGGTCCATAATAATTTCCAAACACGATACAGGCCACTGTTATAGACCAATTGTCATGAGATTTTGAATGTAGTACTAGCTCTTTGGCCAGAACCCCATCTGTTAATAATTTGGGAATGAAATGAACCAAAAACTACGAAAATTTACAAGAGGGAAAGAATCTGGCTAAAAAATAAGAATGACCGTTTGGATGAAGATAGGTCAATACTTAGCGGGTCAAACTAACTTTTCTATGAATAAATAAATTTATATATTTTGTTTTTATTAATTTTCGAAATTTTGCAATGCAAGAAAAAATAATAATCGCTTGGTGCCAAAACTTCCGAATCAAGCTGCCGAATTTCTGGAAAGTCTCTGTAGATGTGTGTTGTCCTGGAGGAACACGACACCTCTCCTGTTGGCCAATTCTGGCCGTTTCTGGTCAATTGCTGTCTTTAAAAGGTCCAGCTATTGACAGAAAAGATCAGAATTTAGCATTTGACCATATGGAAGCATCTCATAATAAATAATCCCCTTCAAGTCCCACCAAATGCATAGAAGAACATTCCTGTCCGTTAGCCCTGGTTTGGCCACCGTTTGAGGCGCTTCACCGCCCTTTGGCCGTTTTCGCACAGGGTTATCTTATGTGATCCATTTCTCATCTCCAGTCACCATCCGTTTAAGAAATGGGTCTATTTCATTCCGTTTGGCCAAGGCTTCGCAGATGGAAATTCGATACATCCTTTTTTTCTGTTAATTGGTGTGGCATCCAATATCGAACTGGTTTAAAACAGTTTTATGGTCGATTTTTAGCTCCTGTGCGATGTTACGACTGCTAACATGCCGGTCGGTGGAAAAACGTACGTAATATTCCATAAATTCCGAAGTTCGGGTAGGGAGATTTAGGATATAGGATAGGATATAGAATTGTATAGGGAATCCGCTGAATGATGGAGAGCATAAAAACCAAGTTCCGATAAAATTGGTAAATTTGAACATGCCTTCTTCAGTCTCCATTCATGAATTTTTCTGTGTTTCATAAAATTTTCTGGATTTTGTGAAAATTTCTGTTTCATAAAATGTTCGTTATTTCCTGAAATTTTCTACCATGGACACTTTCATTAAATTGTCCATGCTTCAGGAAAAGCGTATTTTTGTTGGAGTTTTAACAGCCTTCGGGCAATGCAATATCTCCTCGCATACTGGTCAAAATTTCCAGTTATCCACAAAACCCAGAAATTAAAGGCAACACCATTTACTACGAAACAAAACAGGACAGACAATTTTTGCGTAGAATATTTAGCACACACACGCACCCATCCAATAACTTCGTCCACATAATAGTAATTCCATGGATATGAACAAAGACGGGATAAATGGACAACAGCAATGGCAAAAAACACAAAGTAACATAATATAATTGTGATTTATCCCCTTCCACATGCTAAAAAGAATATGAAGAACAAATAACACACAAACAACAACAGCAAAAACGCTTCTTGCCATAGGGAATGAAACAAAAAACAGGATTTGACAAAAATAAAGGCAAGCAAAAAATATTGTCATGGCAACCTTGATTTATATCCAACCAAGAAATCCAACAACAACGCCGAATGTTCGGGTGTGTGTGGGAGCTATAAAGGGATTACATGTTTGAGATTTTTTTTAAATCAAAGGCAACAAAGTTAAATCATGGAGCAAGCAAAAGGACGGGGAGAGAGCGACAGGAGAGGGCGGAGGTAGTTGAACAGAGTAATATATTGTGGGAGCATAGCAATGGCTTTTTGTGGCAAAAAAACAAAGAGAATGAAGAAAGAAGCCCAACAACTATAAAGCCAAGACCCAGTCTGCCACCATCCATAGATATTAAATGTTTGTCTGTCTGAATGTCTGTCTGTCCACATGCTATCATTCATTATGACGGACGGACTGCACAAACAACAACAAAATAAAGAAGCACATACCCAAAGGGGGTGTAACAACAATAACAACAAACATTTCAAACTCCATGGATGCAACAGACATTAAAAATTGCCAACGCCAACTTTACCCACCCGCCCTTTATCCATCCACACACAGCCAAACCATGTGCCAACACCCTTATCTTTACCCCTCCCACCAACTACTCACTACTTCCACCCTAACCATTCGGTATCATAAATATTCACTGCGCCGGCTCTTTAAATTAACAAAAAACATGTTTTTTTCATTCTACACTGGTTGCTGCACTGTGTTAACGCCATGGCATTTTACCT